AATTAAGGTTTGGAAAATGCTCACCAATTTTTTTGTACAAGTTAAGAGTCCAGAGAGGAGTTTCTCATTGATGCTTAACATGGATGAAATCATGGAAATGAGTTGTTGAAAGTATCAACTAAACAAGCGTAATTGGTTAGTTAATTCAATTGATTTATTACAATTCTCCTAAAGATGATAAAAGATTTTAAATCATTTTTATGCAGATCCCGCTTATCCACCGGATCGTTAAAATATCTACCTATTGGTTATTGTACTACATAGTTCGAGAAATTAAGTTTTAGACAATAGTGATATTTAAGGTGGTGGCGATGTGCTAGATTCGGTTTGAGATTGTGCTACAATAGATGCTGTAACCATTGGATCAGATAGCAATGAAAATACTGGACTCCGAATGGTATATTTATATTTTACTGTATCTTTATTATAATGTATAATCTGTTATAATTCATATAGCTATATGGTATCAATATCAATAACACATTATTATCCATAGATATCGAAGAATTTGACTTTCTGATTTGGAAAATTTACAATGTTCAAATTTTCTATGATCAAATTTGGCGTGGTTATAAGTTTTGAATTCTGATTTATATATTAATTAATTGTCGGATGGCTTAGTTTCTTATAATCTCAGTCTCATTATTTCTCGGTGTTGAATTCGACATTTATTTCAATGTTGTCAGCCGCTTAGGTAGCTTCATTGGTATCATAATTGCATTAACCGGAGAAGCACCGGTTCCGCTTCGCGTAATACAAATTACTTGTTCCAGTCAGCGAAGATATCGGCATTTGCGGAAATTGGCTACTTGGATGGCTGAAATTAATACACCACAATTCTTCTTAATAATGATTATGTGCCAATTGCTATCTATTAATACCATTCCGATATATTCGAAACACGTGTGACTATAACTTTTGCATTCAATACCCAAAATTACATAATGTATGGAATAACAGAATCTTCGATCTGTTTCTATTTTCACTTTCTTCTACAGCGAATTCTTATCATATCAGGAGGATGTTACAGTTACTGGACAAGTTTGCAGAACGGTTAATCAACAGGAAAAGAAAGATTCTTTGTGGTAATGGTAAATTTAGTTATAACTTGTTGATTGGCCGAGGCTTAAGATTAGAGGATGTAATGAAGGTAAATTCATAAAGAAGAACAATTAGCGCATTTTGGGTAATGTTAAGGAGGATTGGTTTAGTAACAAGATTCATGACACCCATGGCTAAGATAACCCAACACTGGTAATTTAGGAAGATATAGTCCAGACGGAAATGCTATAATAATATTTTTTAATTATATATAATAATTCACATGATCAAATAAAATTCGAGGATTTAGAACTGAACTTGGTGATGAGGAAAGGAAATGAATTGTCATATTTTGTGTTATCGAAGAGAATGAAGAAACGTGGAATTTCAGCTGGCAAGCACAAAATCATAGATTTATTGAATAATTGAAAATGAAGTTATAGGCGTTACCAAAAGTAGTAAGTGCAAATAATTTATTAGCTTTAATTCTTTCATTATAATCAAATAATTGTTTTTTTATTTTTATTATTCGTTCACCTTAGTAATTGCTCTGACACAAAATGGATAGTAAATTATCTTTATTTGATTTCCGAAATTACAAGACTAATTTTTGAATTAATGAAGTCAAAGTGTATTTGAGAATTGAGAGTGTTTTCCAGTAAAATCACATTACGAATCATGATTTACTATGCCTCATGGCTTGATTTTACTGGAAACGTTCCCAATTGTCTTTGCAGAACGTGGGATGTCGTGGGTGTTCTGGTGAGAGCTTGTATATATGCATTCGCATTATATTTTTTGGATTTGACTTAAAATTTTTTAATTCTGCTTTTGTAGGTTCATTGGATTTATCTTTATCTTAATCCTCGATTAGAAAATCTCTGGGCGCTAAAATTTGCCTTAGTACATTCATATTAAACCATTCAATTTGTTAGTTAACTTCTGCCAGAATATTATATCAATAGTGATTCTATTATTAAAAGAATTTTGGGCGCTTTGCCGTAGAGGTACGAAACTACAAAAAAAAATTGATTTTTTACTTTATATGATTTTTTTTTATATTTTTTTTTTAGTAAATTTAACATTTAAAAAATTTATTTTTTATAGAGTTTCATAACTTTCTACTGCAAAGTGCCCATTTATAAAAAATGATGATTTAGAGGGTAGTAGAAAGGATTAGAAAATGAGAGTAAGAATATATTTATTTATAAACACGGCATGAAGAAAAACTAATTAGTATAACTATAGCAAAGGTCACTTCTAATACTACGTTCATAATGCATATGTTCACCATTTGATAACTTTCAAAACTATATATTTTCAATTTTAGTCGTCACCATTTTTCAACATCAATCCTTTTTAAACATTTTTTTTCGTTTTGAAAAATTATAAGGTTTTACTGATAAATTTAAATTTATTACAAGCAAATTTTATTGGCAGAGAAAAACAAATTTTGAAATGATAAAATTTAATTTATTACAACACTTTTGATCCGGGAAATAAATGTGACAAAGACGAGATCAAATGTGTTGTAACATAAGTAAACAAAATGAAAATAATCACGATATTAAAAATTAAGATAAAATACAAAAAAATAAACATAAAAAGGTGAATATCGTAACCTTTATAACCTGCATTGTATACAAATTATATAAGTTATGATTGAAGGATTCATTTTGTTATGAATCCTTCAATAAATAAAGTTTATTTTTTTTATAAAAAAATTTTAAAAAAATAAATTTGATAGGACATATTTTGTTGTGAATGATCCTATTGAGTCCCTCGATACGAGAAGCAGAAGAATTTTCTCAAACGCGAGTTGTTGCAAAACGGGATTTAGTGGATTTGAATTGAATGAAAAAAGTTTAGAATTTAGTTTTTGCATATTTAAAATTTTTTGATTTTTTTTTGATTTTTTTTTTTATAAAACAAAATTTTTTAATAATGGTAGGTTTTTATACAAATTTTTTTAAACACAATAACGCCAAGAAATTTCACACTTGAAAAAAGAATGTTATCATGGAAAGCAAAGTATAAATTGGTAATGTGGCGTTTTATTGTAAAAGATAATAAAGATAAGTATACTTGAATATTATAAAAAAAATTCTTATTATAAATTATAAAAGTTTGTGTGATGAGGAATACTTCTTAAGCTAACCATATATTACTTTAGTAATAAATATATTGTTATAAATAATTTATCAAATTTATAAATATTAATATAAGTAAAACTTAAGGTCCGGAAAAACTTGTAAACCAAAATAATAATAAGATATTTTTTTAATTATTAAGTTTAAAATAAAACTAGCAAACTTTATAAAACTTTTATTAGAAAAAATCTTTGCAAGATTTGATTTCATTTCTGAAGTTTTAAAATACTAAAAAACCTTTAAACTTTCTTTTTTTAAAGTAAAAAAAGAATTTTAAGAATTAAAGAAAAGTAAATTAAAATAGTATAAAACTTCTTTGACTGAAATATAACCAACTAGTTTTTCTTTTATCTTACTTGTATTTATCCAAAGATTATTATAAATATTTATAATAAGTAATCCAAAAAATTTGCTTTTGTTATCCAAGAATATTGTTGACTTCATTTTTCATATATTGAGATAATTTGAGTAATGTAAAGTTTTTTGTTTAAATAAATAATTAAGTATTTATCTAGAATTAAAGAATGAAAATCAAATACATTTGTATTGATAATATTATGTATTTAAAAAAAAATTAGATAAATTAGAAATTTATTTATAAAAATTATTTAAATTTTATAATATCAAATAAAAGAAATATTTACCATTGATTCTAATAGCTATTAAAATAGTTATGAATCTTTTATGTTCTTCCTAATGTTATTTCATCAATTAATACAATTTTCTTGAATATCAAAATTATTTGTTATTTAGTGATTAACCGATTAGTAGTATTAAGATTAATTAAACTAGTTACTTTAGATATTTCAGATAATACTTCTTGAGTTGGCTTTTTATTGACTCAAGTTAAGTCATTTATTTTAGCTCACAAATCAGCTTAACTCAAGTCCAAAATATAAAAAGCCGAGCTAACTTGCATAACTTATATTATTAATAAAAATCTGAAAAAAAATTCAGAATAATTGAAAGTTTTGGAAAGTAATTTCCTTTAAGAAAATCATTTTCAAAATAATCCTTTTAAAGAAAAATATTTCTAAATGAATTTCTTAAAAAGAAAACGCTTTTAAAATTTTTCTTATAAAGAAAATCACTCTGTAACAATTTCTTTTAAGAAATTTACTTCTATAGCAATTTTTAAAAAATATGCTACTGAAGCATTTTCTTTAAGAATTATGCTACAGAAGTGATTTCTTTTAAGAAATACACTATTATATTATTTTCTTTAAATATTATACTTCCAATATATTTTTCTTAAAGAATTATATTAACAGAACATTTTTCTTAAAGAATTATATTACCAGAATATTTTCTTTAAGAATTACGCTACTGGAGTATTTTTCTTAAAGAATTATACTACTAAAACATTTTTTATTAAAAATTATATTTCTGATATATTTTTTTTAGAAATTTGCTTTTAAAGCATTTATTTTGAAATAAATACTTTCAAAAATATTACTTTAAAAAACTGCTTCTAAAATGCTTATTTAAATAAATTAATGCTTCAGAAGTATTTTATTTAAATTTAATTATCTGAAAAGTATTATTATTTAAAATAATACTCTTAAAGCATTTATTTAAATGTAACATTCTGAAAGGTATATTTTTTTAAAAAGTATTCTAAAAGCATTTTTATTTAAAATAAATACAAAAGTATTTCATTTCAAAATAAATGTTTCAGAAGCATTATTTTTCAAGAAAATATAACTAAAATCATTGTTCTTCAAAAAAAATATTACCATTATTATTTTTTTTTGAAAAAATATTATAATTATTATTTTTCTTTGAAAAAAATGTTATCAGAATCATTTTATTTTGAAAAAATTATTATTAAAAATGTTTTTCTTCAAAATTAATTTTAGATTAAAATATAATATAAATCAGAAAACGTTACTAATTAAATAATTGTCATTTTATTTTTATTTGCAGATTTATTATTATTATTTGATTTATCTGATTTATCTAATAAAAGTTAAAAAACTTCAAAAGCAACAGTTCCTATATTTTCAATTTTTATTTGCAATTTAATTTATTCTATAAAACAAAAATTAAAATATAAATTTTTAATAAATATTAAAAAAAAAAATAATCAATTTCTTACTAGCTAAATTTTATCATCATCAATATTAATTATTTTTAAATTATTTAGATCATTTAAAGAATATTCAATATGATAAATAAAGTTGTTATAGTTTGATTTAAAAATATTTTGCAAAGGATACTTTACTATATCTAATATATCTAATATGAACTACTTCTTTAATATTATCTTCAGATAACCAACTATATAAATATTTAATAGTTTCATAAAAAAATAAAGTATCATCAATATTAATATATAACCTAAAAATAAATTATAAATTTTTATTATATACTTTAATAAATAAGCTTTAATAAATATATAAAATTTTTACCTCTAGTAAATATTTAATCCCTTGATATATTAATTAATTTAGCATATATAATTTTATCTTGATATATAACAAATTTTTGAATTTTATAAAATTCATAAAAGTTAAAATCCGCTATTATTTAGCATGATATATCAAAATGTATTCAAAAGTTTTAATTCTATGTTTTTATAAAAATAGAAGATAGTTAGAATATTATTCTCAATATATTATAATAAATATTATTAAAAATTTAATCTTGCTAATAAAAATCTTAAATCTTTAAATAAATATTACTGTATTACATATTATAACATTTTGAAGAATGAATTATATTATATTATTAAATATAAACTTTTTATATTTTAAGAAAAAAAAGCATATTGTTACCCGAAAAATAGGACATTTATTTTTAGGTAAGAGGTTGAGTTCGTTATGTTATAAATTCTTAGTTGAT